AGCTCTATTTCTGTTAATCTGTGGGTTGTCTGGGGTGATTCTGCTCCATTCCCATTTCATCCTCCTGGGAAAACCAGGACATGTTCATCACCCAGTGACACCCAGTGGACCTTTTCAATGGTTCATCACCTCTTCAAAGCCTGGGCTCAGAAATGTTATCACATCTGCCCTTCTATCATTGACCAAAGACAGTAACTCGCAAAACCCAAGTGAAGGGACCATGAAATGGACTCCCCTCCTCAAGATGAGACCTCAGAAAATGTGTGGATGCAAGTGGGGTGAAGGACTGGTAGGTCAATGATGCACCCCACCATCCTCATAAGAAACACCACAATTGCAACAGATGATGCTACTGTCCCACATGTCCTCTTACTCTAAGGGCTGTGTTTTTCTTGTTCATTCACTTCATGAATGGTGACATTCTCATGACCAGTGATGACAGCCATGGAGATAGCAAGGTGTTTTATCTGCTTCTGCCCTTCCTTTTATCCACACGATAGGCCACCAACACACAGGCCATCTCAAAGTATCTATTGCCAGAAAGAACTCAATAGCAGTGTCTCTCCTTGTCTGTGGTATTCTAGTCCTCTGTCTTCATTAAGCAAAAGTGGTTCATGTTAGAAATGCGTTCACTCTTCTTAGCTCCCCAGTTGTATTATAAAACTCTTCACAAGCAATGACGTCTTCTCATAGTTAACCAACCTTCTCTCTCTCCCAGCTTCTAAGTAAGTGTGGTTGGTTACTTGCCTGCTTGTCTGACAGACCCCTGATGGCCATTCCTGATGGTGAGTCTGCTGTACTCCCAGGATGGAGACCTCTGACTGTCTCAGTACAGAAGCATCCTGTCCCTCCTTGAACCCTCATCATTCACAAACTCCCTCAGTTGCTCCCACCCAGGTCACCAAAAGTAAGCAGGATCTCTCCTAAGGTGTGTGTGGAACCTGATGCATGCTTAGGTTACTTGGGGGCTGTGACAGCTTGAGCTGGTAGGATGGTCATGCAGGCTCCACAAAGACTTTTGTGTGGTCTCTCTAGCCAACAGAAATTTTAGCTTCCTGCCACCAATGGATCTTTCCAGCACCCGTTGCTTGACTACCATGACCATCTCTCTGGATCTGGAGAAACTGAACATGATGATTTAGGGGTGGGATGGGATAGAAAGAAAGGCACTTGAGTGTGGAGCACAAAGAACAGGGTAGCTTTTCTAGAAGCTTCCTTAGAGAATTTTTAATCGAAGATTTTTATTCTATTTTTTTGTGCAACCCAGAGTATTTGGTTACCTAGGTTGGAGGTTCCTCACAGAAGCTGTTTCCAATTTCTTTGACTGGTAAAGGTCAATGAAAAGTCCCAGGATGTCGTAGAGAAGGAGTGTACACTTCCTAAAGGTTTTACCGTTGCCCTAGAAGACTTACAGATGTGCAAATGGGTGGATCTCAGATTTCCGTTCTTCTTCATTGACCTGGCCAGTTTAGATGTGGAAGGACAAAAGGAGAAGGTAGTTACTAGACACTGAGTGACTGACACATTGTAACAGGGCAGGTGAAACCCTGGGGGGCCTCTGTTGACTCTCCCAAGGGAGCCGGTCAAGGACGGGATGCTGCTGAGTAGGTTCTATGTCACTGAGGGGGACTTTGGGAGTTGTGTTTGGGGACATTAGTGGAGAAAGAAAGAACAGTGGCCTCTGATAGCCCTTTAACCTGAGGGCGACCTGGTAGGAGCTGCTTCCCCAAGGATCTCTTTGTTGTCTGCGTATTTTCTTCTTTGCTGGGATTGAGCTTCTTCCTTTCCCGTCCTTTGCTTTCTTTCAAGGCTGTCCCTGGCCTCTACGCCCCTTTTTAGCCATTAAATGTTGGGGGACATCAGGCAGGCACACTTCTCTTTCTGATATGTGTAAAAAGAGCAAAGTATCCTAGATATTTTGCAAAACTGATGATAAATGTTGTGTGACTCCCAAGCACTTGCTTGTTGAATTATCATCCTCAAACACAAACTGAAGGTGGGGTTCCATTTCTATAGTCTGACATCGCGATTCCAAACTTGAGTCTCAAGTTTGGAAATTCAGATCTCACAGTTCTTATTTTAAATGAAGACTTGCTTAATACTCACTGTATGACAGACTGTCTGGTTTCATTAATCATTCTAGATTACTCTAGATTACTTCTAGATTACAGTGTGACCACAGTAGGCATGTAACTGTTTTGCTTTACTTTGTGCATTTTATTGTCTGTGCTGTTCACCATCTTCAAGCACCCTTCTACTTGGGGGAAAGGGAATCCAGGGGAAGGTCAGGGTTACCTCCCATATGAATAGTGAAGGAGTCCAAGGGTGCATGTTCTTCCCTCCTGTATTAGTGGTAAAATACAACCAAAAGCAACTTATGGAAAAAGAGTTTATTTTGGGCTATAGTTCCAGAGAGAGAGAGAGAGAGTCCATAACGGTGGGGGCACAGGCTGCTGGAGCAGGAAGCTGAGAGATCATATTTCCTCCACACACAGGAAGCAGAGAGAGTGAACTGGAAGTGGAGTGATGTTATCAACTCTCAAAGCCAGTCCCTGGTGATGTACTTCTTCCGGCAGGGCTCCATGGCCTAAAGGTCCCATAACCTCAATGGAGATATTTTCCAAAATAGAAAAAAATGAGAAAGCCTAAGCAAGGAATGAAAGTCTGTGTAGGTTTGTTATGATATATAAAGGATGAGACAAAAATAACATACACATAATCTTAAAATTTCTAAGGTCATAGTCTAGTCAATTAGTTTAAGGAACAAAATATATATCTAGTCAA